GCCGTAAAACCCTGCCGTGAGGCCAGCGCGAAAAAAATCGGTCTGAGATCAATTTTCCCGCCACGCGACAGCAGATTGCCCGTTTGCTTCATTGCTTTGGCTACATCCACTTCACCAGCTCTCAAACCATGTGATGTAAACAACCAGCAGCAAATTCAACATGACAGCCAAGCCGCCAGCAGTGGATCGCGCCGACGCTATGCGAATTACCTGTGCAGCATGTCAAAGCTCACGGTCCTCATAAGAACGCATTCATCGAGAGCCTGGTTTGGATTACGATTGCTGAGAACATTGGAAGCAGAAGAAGGTGCACCAGCAGCAGCGAGCTGGCATGCCCTAACGTGTCTTGCTTCTGCACTGCCAGCTGAATCCGCCGTGAACGATGCATCCACTTATACCAATTCTGCTGGAAGAAAGAATCAAATACAAGGGGCAGAACGAGAAACAGAACGAATATAAATTTCGTTCTGCCCCTTACAATCACATTCGTTCGGCTCCTTAGAGGGGCACAACCAATGTGAACGTTTTTGACAGACGCGGACAGGGTTTTGCAGCCGCTGTGGTGTTTTCGCTTGAATTATTCAGTGTGAACTCTCCAGGAATGATTTTTTTTGTTGTTGAATTTGCGGCGAGGTTTTTCGACCGCTTAAGCAGCAAAGCGAGTGAATTTTCTTCGAATGAGTTTTACCGCTTTCGCTCACTTTGATGTCGAATGTGAATGCACCTTCAGCGCCAGCAGCATGAGTGAGGAAACCGCAGCACTTTATTGAGAGATGGTGAAGGCAGCAGAGTTCAAAAGAACATCATGGGTTCTTTTCAGCACGAAGTGTTGACCACGATAAAGTTCTTGTTCATTTTCATAATCAACTAACTTGTTCTTGATTCATATGAATTCGGGATAAGAATATTTTGCATGCTCCGTTCGAATTCGTATCATCGAAATTCTACTGGACAACCTGATTAAGCCAAATGCAACTCATATCTTACGCATGAAGTGACTAACGGATGAGGTGATTTTTTTGTAGGTAGATATGCTCCTCCAATGGTAAAATATATTTGCCAAAGTAAATGACTCAGAATTTCAAGCCATCTCCACCAAGCCTCTCTATCGATAGACCTACACAGACTCATATTTGCAAAACTTGCCTTTATTTATATATGCTGATGAGTCAGAAAAACAAAACAATGTGGAGAAAGCAAAGTACTCACGGTAGATTCTATTATAGTGCCGATATATTTCATCTACACAGCACACAAAATGCCCAAATGTGCAAGATTAATGCTTATCCGCGCGAGAGACCGAGCATGCATGTCCTGTCGATATTATTGTTGTGACTGCGTTGTTATTTGTTATGTGGACAGATTCAAAGTGCACGAAACCGAAAATTTTGTTTCTTAAAACACTCCCAGCGTGGCAACAAAATATTAGAAGGTGGCGATACGGGCGTCTTGTTTTTGTGCACCGCAATATTTTCAAATTTCACGCCAAATTTAACTCGAACTATAAATAATGTGCAGAAGATTTTTTTTTTTGCTGGCTTTAGTACGCATTACTGAAAATTATATTAATGCTTTCTTTGTTGTGTCCTCAAAAGGAAAAAAAAAATGAAAAAAATACAAGCGTGGCTCATATAAAAGAAAAGTGTGCCAAGATTGATAAATCTTCGTGCCTTTCCTATTTCACACAGAAACTTCATAACACTATCAAATATATATAAAGGCCTTTGCAACATTTCTCCAAAAGATCGTTTGCCTAAAGGGAGCATAAGAAATATAGTAGTTAAAGAAGCAAGTTCTTTTAAAAAAGCTCACTTTAAAAAGTGCTAACGGTGCTAAAACGGTGCTAACAGAGTCAACCTTGAAACGAGACATGTGACCACATTGCGCGTGTTGAGACGCGGCCGCATAGTTTCTTTCTTTTCGCCATGCCGCACGTGCGTGCCCGGAAAAAAAAAAAAAAAGAAACCAATGTCAAGGACCATTGCAGTGTGTCTCAATGCGTGGCAGCATGGTAGAAAAATAGCACGTTCTCTCACTTCCTGATGGATGCAGACGACGTGCGATGGAGAATGGCGCAAGTCAAAAACTTGCGCATTAGAAAAAAGGCGACGGACACTATGGCAGATTGTTTTAGTCGGTTCACTCGCCACAACTTAATTCTACTCGGTGAGTACACCGTTATTTAGCTTGTGTGCATTCTTATCAATATTTGGCTTTTTCTAAGCGTGAAGTAAAGTTCCGTTTATATAAGCAAGTGCGTTAGGAAATTTGTTGTGTTACGTGGGTGACTGTATTTTTCATATATGCTTGTTTTCTGTGCATGTCGTAGTGCTACCCATTTTCAAATTAAGCTGCTGTTAAGCCTTCGAGGAAGCAGCCTTCGACGAAGCAACTCAATGCGACGCCACAATCAATAAAATACAGCACAGCCGCAAGCAAAACTATAGAGAAAGTGCTGTGTTGACCCTGTGAGGCGCAGCCATCTTTGTTGTTTTTTTTCGACCACTGTTGCCAGCACGCGGAGAGTTATTTGGAGTTGCAAATTAGCTCTGAAAAACACCGGTGCTCGTTTAGACAACAGTTCTGTTTTTCACCTGAAAATTGTACAACTTTTTGTTTCCGAGACACTTTGCGTCATAATTTTTCGCATTTTTAAAAGCGACGTTTTTCCTAGTTCACCAAAAAAAGGCAAAAATTATTCCGGTATATAAGAAAGGCGATAAATCAGAAGTGTATAATTACTGTCCTACTTCTATTCTATCATCAATCAGCAAAATCATAGAGAGATTATTGTGTAAACAATTGAATGCTTATATAAAAAAGTTAAAATTTCAACTAAGCTTTATTATCGCTAACAGACTACATTTGTCACTCCCTTGAAAATACAAATTTTGTTGCATCAGTTTTCTTAGACTTAAATCATTAAAGCTTTTGATACTATTAATCATAACCATGTTTTTCTAAAATAGGGAGTCATTTAGCATTACCAGTCCCATGCTAAACCTCATTCGAAGTGACTTGCTTAATAGAGAGCAAGCAGTATTTACAGGTGGTGTTTATTCCAATAGCAAAATTATTAATCAAGGTGTACTGCAAAGATCTATACTAGATCCTTAACCTTTTTTCTATTTATATTAACAATTTACCATCACGTAAATTGCTTAATCTCTAACCTTAACAGTGAGCTTGAATGAATTATTGAGTGGTGTTTCAAATCAATTAACCATCAATATACTACCAAAACTAAATTTATAATCTTTAGAACTGTTAAGTGTATACTACCAAATAGACCTGATTTAACTTCAGATAGTCATATTATCATGAATTGTAACTGTACATTTTTCTTGGGCATTAAACTAGATTGTTACATTAAGTTTTCAGATCATATTGCTCTGATTAAACATAAATGTACATTCTGCATAAGAGTTATAATTAGATCAAAATCATATTTCTCTAATGATACATATTATCATTGTATTCTACCTTCATTCACAGTCAAATCATCTACGGCATTGTCTCCTGGAATAATACATATCATTACCATTTATCCTCTATTCAGCACTTACAAAACCAAGCCATTCGCATCATCACTTATAGCAACTTGTTCACCAATGCGTCTCTATTACTTCGTGACCGCAGCATTCTACATTTATCAGGCTTGTTTAGCTATCATCTCACTATTATGCTTTATAAACTGATTAATAAACAGCTCTCATATGAGTTTATTACTTACAGTTATCTTACTAATAAAAAAAAAAAACAGCAGGTTTACAGCCAGCTCTAACTTTCTTTTGCCCATTGTACATACTAACTACGACAAAATGATCTCGACCTTCACGGCCATAAAACTGTGGAATGAATTACTGCTGACTATCAAAACTTCATTCGCTTTTCATCAATTCAAATACACCCATTAAACTTTTTAATTTACAAATATAAATTTATGCAATTCAGTATATTACTATTTATATAGGTTGTTCTTTCTGATCACCACAATACATCACTTGTGCTACAACTAGTTTTGTCAGTTTTTTTAATCTTCGTTGTACTTTGCGACTGTGTTTAAGTCATGTATTTTAGCTTTGTATGTTGTTTTTTCAATATCGTTTTTGTTGCTGTTCACTTGCTCACTCTTTTTAGACTTCTTAACAATTATTCACCAAGGGTCCCGCTGCAGACTTCAACTATGGGCCCTCGTCTATATATCTTCCTGTGACCACCTTTTATTGTGTAAGAATAATATTGCATTGTGTGTAAATATACATTTCTATTTATTTTGTACAGCAAAAAGTAGCTCTGGCAGTTGACTATGAGGGAAAATGTATCATCAGGTTTCATTTGTGTCTACCGTGTGTGAGGGCAGGCTGCCTGCACTCTCTGGGAGACTAGCCGGTACACAATTTGCAGCCTAAAACCTCGCCTACAAGCATCAGAAGAACGACGGACGCACTTGTTCAAGATATCAATTGTTTGTTCCCCATCCCAGTCCCCATAGATATAGACAGATTTTTTTTCTTGAGGCACACAAAGCACTGCTAGCAGACATCGTTGGTGCCGTGGATATCCTTAGCCTATGGCAGTAGCATCTACAGGTAGGCAATAACAAAAACGGCAACGAAAAAAAAATTGCGTACTGAAAATGTTTTTCTCGGAAATCTTTTTCTGAAAGCTTAATTAAATAATCACCACAGCATACTCCGACCCAGCCGCATGTACGGTGTAGAGTGAAAAAAATGGGCCAAGTCAAAATGCTTACACTGAATAGCACCTCACTCATTTTTTCACTTCTGCACTGCTGTCATGAACATTTCCAGACGTGCTCGCGAAGTTGACGGAATGCTCCTAAAAGTTTGGTCAATTTCCGTAACAGCAAGAGACAGCCATAAGGGTGAACATACAGTCCCTAAATTTTGGACCTGGCCAAACTATCACTTTTCTTCATGCAACACATCCATCATGCAACGGAGAAGTTGAGTGCACTTTATAAAGATGAGCCTCACCTTCTTGAGATCCTGTTGCAGCAAGCGCACCTTTGATCGTTCTTGTTCCAGTGCAGCATGCAGCTCGGTAACCTGCATTCAGGCAACCATTGATCACTTGTGTGGTGAAGTGCTTCCATGTCAGAAAAACAAAACACAGCTTAGCTCAAGCATGTACTTTGCTGGTCATGAAACTGTATTTTATGAGACACTGTCGTGGTGCCATGTTGACTTTACTTTTATCTCCACTTTCTGCCTACAAAGCCAGTGAAAGAGTAGTGATGCAGCAGGTATTGCTACAGCTTGCCATAGCAAATGCAGGAATGAGACGGCAATGCTCAACACAAGATGCAAATCATAATAGCAAAAGCCTTTCTTAAAAGCTACTCAGGTGGACTTTGGAAACAATGTCACTTATGGTGAATTGTCGCCTGTGGCTACTCCCTAAGCTTTGTTACGACTTGTCGTGGTCGGACAATCTGAAAGTGTTTTCCACGAATGTTTATTTAGAGAAGCAATGTCTACTTCGATATAAATGGACTCACCTTTCAGCCACTGTACCTTCCACAACTTCCCTGGCCAATTCTTTCGGAATGACTGCCATTGACACCATGACCAAATGAGACTACTACTTTACGTGCAGCATCACCACGGAGCGCATGACATTCGTTGCACAAAGTGCCTTTTGAATTTAATGACATCAAAATGCCCAGTGTGACAGGAGTACTACAGTACACAATAGGGAGCTTTTATGAACGGCGGCGACGCTATGGACTCTGGCAGCCATGTTTTTGTCAGAGGCGGCCGGGGAGTGCAACAGTGTCGTCGTGTTTGCGAGTGTTGGCGTAGCTTGCAGGCGTGATCGAGTGCGATCGTGACGCAAATTTAACTCCAAGAAGTGTCGTGCACGATATCAGCCTCACAGCAAAACTAAACCGTAACGCTGTGTCAGAAAGACCTCGAGCAGTACGAAGAAGAGACGAGAATTTTCTCCAAGTGACCCATTCACACTTCGTGCGGGCGACTGTGTAAGCGACGTGCTCTTGTGGCGGGGCGTCGACAGCTCTGATATTGATGAATTTTTCGTTCCGAGGACAAATTTGAAAACCCGGGAGCAAATGAAGCCCAGAAAGGCCCTTGAGCGTCATAAGATTGTGTAAGGTGGCTGGGTATGGGAGCCGTGAGTGAAGAAAGTCGCCGCCGACTCAATTAAGACGTGCTAAATTGAGCAGCGCTCTTCTCGTGCAAGTGGATCGTACTCCACGAAGAATAACAGTGCAGTGGGATGTGAGCAGGCTTCGCTGTTCCTGATTATGCATGTGCAGTGTGCGGCAAGGACCTTGCCATCACTCTTGCCCATGAACAATGCGTCGACGGCGGGCTTGTTAACACACTGGAAAGTTAACCTGAACAGAAACAAACATTAGCCTATACGGCAAAATCAAGTAATTTAACACCTCTTGCTTGAGTGACGACGATCACGGTATCGGCGGCGAATTTCTTCATTTACGACTCCCTCAACCAGCCACTCGTCACAAAGTTGTGGTCCTTGATTGCCTTTCTCGACTTCGACAAACTCGTCCTCGGAACGAGAAATTTATAAATATTGGAGCTGTCAAAGCGCGGCCACAAGTGCACGTCACTTACACAGTCGCCCACACGAAGCGTGAATGGGTCCACTCGGAGCTAATTCTCGTCTCTTCTTCGTACCGCTCAAGGTCTTTCTGGCACAGCGTTGCGGTGTAGTCTTCCGGTTAGGCTGGCATTGTGCCCGACTGTTCTTGGAGTTAAATTTGCGTCGCACTTGCACTCGATCACGCCTTCAAGCTATGCTATCATTCGCAAACACGACTGTGTTGCTGCCCTTCCCGACCGCCTCTGACAAAAAAATGACTGCCTACCCAGAGTGCATAGCGTCGCCGCCATTCATGCAAGCTCCCTATACAAAAGGCCAAGGACTCTAAAGTAGCTCAACGAGAGTAGCCTCAGGCTCAGTGATTGTTCTGCAAAAGGTACACCATTTCATTTGAATGCCAATGCTGCATCGCAAAATTACACAGTGGCTGAATATTGAACTTTGATTTAGAGAAGAGCCTTGCAGATGAATAACTACGCTCTAGACATCCACATTCACCAAAGCCGCTTCTGCCTTTGGAGCAGAAAACATGCTATACTGAGATGAACACTTCCCGAATGTTGATGAGGTGCGTCTCACCTGTTGAGTTAATTCGTCCTTGACCTGAGTAACTTCCTCAAAATCCCGCAAGATCTCTGCTTTATCTTGCACTGCAAATGTAATCACAATTATGTGTAAACAGATAACTAAAAATAAAGGCATTTTGAAAAAGGATTCATCTTTTTCTCAAAAGTATTCCAGAAGAATATTTCCTGTCAAAGTACCAGCCCTAGGAAGCTCAATAAGTTCAATAAAGAACTTCGTCATGAGAATACCGAAGGCACCAATTGAAGTGCTTTCAGTTCATTGCTAATCAATATGGCTCAGATAAGACAATAAACATGTGAACCGGTAAATCGGTATTCGGTACGAACATTGCTATTAAGAAAGAAATACAAACAAGAGCACAGATTATGCTGTTTCTGGCTATATTCCATGTGACAGCCGCTTTTTCTCATCACAGAAATGCTGTTGAGTCAATGTCTGCACACCACATTCCCCTCCTTAGCACCAAAAACAAAACAGGACTGAAATATTATAGCTATTTAAGCTGCTGTGACACTTTCTAGTACATTTATCCAGAGGTACCAGACCATCATTCAATGACTGGTACAGGCACAGAACACACAAGACCCAATGAAAGAGGGGCCAAGATTGCATGTCAGCACTTGTTTCAATCACTGTATCTGTGCGCTGCATAATGTAATGTATTGCCAAACTGCGCTATAAGTGATGTTTAAATACATATGGAATGCCCCCGTTAAGCTGTAATTCATCCATCAGCCTCATTATTGCAGTGTCATTAACAAGTGTACCAGCTCTAGCTGCAGGCATGGTTACGTACTAGCTTTAACAGACTGCTCATACCTTGCTCTTTGAAAGTAGACTCAAGTTCTGAGTAGGCTAGCTAAGTAGAATGAAATTTAAAGCAGCCACATATAGACAAATGAAAGTACAGAATGCATTTAACTCCCAGAGTTCCTGAAGTGGCTGAAAGAGAATTGCCCCTTTTTTTCTTTTTTCCTTTCCACCCTTATTGCTCCCATATCCTGCATCACCTCCTGTAGCCTGCAATATGGTTTAGACTGGGAATGTTGAGACTTCTCACATCTTTTTCTTGTCCATTTAAATTTATTATACACACTTTCTTGATAGTTACTGGTATTCTACACTTAATGTGGAGCAATATGAGCTTTTAATGGCTTATAAGCATAAACATTAGGTGGTGGGAAAAGTGTGTTCAGAAAGAGCTGTATTATATAAATTGTCTTGGCACATAACTAGAACTATGCAACTTCATATAAAACAGACTACATATTTGAATTAAGCATAAAAACCAATGCAAGCACTAAAAATGCCATTGCCCAAGGCCACAGATTTGAATTTTTCTTTTTATTTTTAAGTAGCATCTCCCATTATACTTTGTGTGGTTTAGGGGCCCTTCGAAGGCCAACTCTGGCAACATTTTGTCACCAGATCTAAATAAAATTTGTGGAGTGGGTTCCTTCACATGTTTCCATCTTTGATGCCAAATCACGGGATTTCAAGGTACATTGTTTACAAACAAATTTTATTGATTAGCTCCCACCATCCATCTGGCATCCCACAATTATTGGCCACAACGTGAGTGCAACGTCATTTATGGCAATGCAACAGATGTGACAGAACAGAGGCGCCACTACAGTGTCTGCTGTCCACAAACAACGATCTTGTGCATTTGGCCAGTGCTTTGCTAATTGGGCGTGAGATTTTCAGTTACCCATGGGAAAGAAGGTAGGCAAGAAGTTAGTCACTTCGGTGCTTGGACCCCTGAGATTCAACTTCATGAAAAGCATAACTGTTAATAAAAATGGGTAAATGATTAAAAAATAAAAAAAATTGCACTCCCTTGGGGCTACTCAAACAAGTACGCTTGCAAAGTACCCACTATTCCATTAATTGATGCAGTGGCTGATAATAAAGAATTCTGGCGGATTCCTTTGAAAGCATTAGTAATGAATTTCATACTGTGTGATGCCTGATTGTTATATTACTCTTCTGCCATGTTATATTGTATATGTTAATACACTTCCTTTCTGACATAATGCTTGTGAAGGGTTTTTGTGCACTGGAGTTTCAAGCACCAGCATGGCTCAGTGGAAGAATACTGGGCTGGCACAGAGAAGACCCAGGTTCACACATGTTCCATCCTGGATATTTTTAATTTATTATTTCATGCAATAGCTGTTGCGTCCTTTGTTGTGAGCTTTCGCTGTAAAAGTCATCCTGTCACAAGACGACCCCTGGTCCATCTCTTTACCCAGCAAAACAAAACCTGGCACCTCATAACTAGGAATGCAATCCCGCATTGTGTTTTTCCAGGCTGGTTTACACCACTTTGCAACAAAATTGAAGACAGCAAGCCAGCCAACAAGCCAGTCAACATAGAAAAACATGAAGACAAGGAAACTTCTGTTCTCAAAGTCCATTTTCTAAAGCATAGGATGCAGCTACATCCCTTGGTTCACTTCAAGCTCCGAACTTTCTGAGGATTTCTGTCTTGTTCGAACATATATTTGTAACTCTATTTTTTACAATTGACTCAGGCATGAAATCACAGAATTGTTGCGATAAAGCAACAATGAAGCTGTGAGCAACAATGATATCAGGTAACCTTTTAATTGAATTCTCAGTGTCTAATTGTGCAGAACACCGAAATATCTTTCTCAAGGCAAGAACAGCCTAAAAAAATCATGCAACCCTGAAAATAATCTTAGCTAATGATGCCATTACACATAAATAATTTAAGTTAAATCGCTTACTTTCGCCTTGGGCCAGGATGTTGCACAGCTGTTTGTTGCGAAGCTTCACCACTTTCAGCTCAGCCTAGGAATAAAGGGACAAATGATTACATGTAACTTATTTCACGAACCATAGATTATGTATGTCTCACAAGAGCAATGCAAACACTTTATATTTGATATACATCATTACATTTTTGCACAGCTAATACAAAAAATCTAGATAGGAAACCATAAGCATTTTTTCTTCCGATATATAATGGTCCATAATCTTCTGCTATTGCTATGCTGCTAATTGGGGTTCAACATCCCAAAACCACCACATGATTACGAGAGACGCTTTCGTGGTGGGCTCCGGAAATTTTGACCACCTGGGGTTCTTTAACGTGCACTCAAATCTGAGTAGGCATTTTCGCGTCTATCGAAAATGCAGCCGCCGCAGCCGGGATTCGATCCTGCGACCTGTGGGTCAGCAGCCGAGTACCTTAGCCACTAGACCCTTGCGGCAGGGCATGTCTATATTCTTGCATCTAGATAATCATGACATACTGATATGCTTGTGTTCCACGAACTTCTCGACGTTAACTGCGACAAATGCCTTAGTCTATCAAAGTCAAGTATTCTCAGAAATGTACATACGAACATACAAAAAACAGTGAGTGGTGTTTATAGGTTAGTTTGCATGGCACGAGACCCTATTGCCATTTTGGTTATAATCGTGGTAAAGCAGCACTGGCTAAGACTAGGCAGCATTGACCCAACAAAAGCATAAAATAAATATCATAGTACCAGCAGGAATCGAACTCCCCATTCTGCGTGTCAGTCAAGTCTACCACAGATCCACACCAGTTCTCAGAACTTATTTTCAAGCAGACCGTAATGTTCGTGAAACGTTTATTGTGGTCGCAGGGCTGGCTATCCAATGTTATAAATGATAGATAGGTACTTTCATACAGCTGTCATGTTCCGTTAACGACAATAGTGATGAAGCACTATCCGCTAAAGCTAATTTATTTAGCAGTGTCCAGGGCCGCTATCCTTGCTGGCACAAAAGCTATTGCCACGAGACCCTATTGCGATTTTGGTTATAATTGTGATAAAGCAGCACTGGCTAAGACTAGGCTTCTGCAAATAGTGAGCATAAGATTCGAAGAGAATAGTGATTTTAGTCTAAAAATTTCGAATCGAATTTAAACAGTATATATCACATATTATAAAAAAGAATAGGCATATTTGTCATGACCCAACTAGTTTGTGCAATATCTTTTTTAAAAAATGAAACAAAACCGATGCAAATGCCAACGTATCGGCTTAAAGACTTTCTCTTGTCTATTGTACATACTAACTACGACAAGGTGACCTCGACATTTACCGCCATAAAACTGTGGAATGATTTACACCTATCAAAGCTTCATCATATTTTTATTAACCAGGACTGGATGGAAGTGGACATCAGTGTTTTGGAGCGCCTCAGGGAGCAGCAATAAAACTATTTTGGAACAGCTTTGACACAGTAAAAAGGCTGTTTTGGAGCAGTTTTGGCACAGTAAAAAAGCTGTTTTGGAGCAAGAGTTAATTTTGTACCCAATTTCTATGGTCAGATATCACTGTTAATCGAAATTATTTACTTTGGTTGGTGAATAACAAAACAGTACCTATGGTTTTCACGAAACATTCGAAGTTACCAGACTTAGCATTTACAAATATTGTCGCGACGTGAAGACACGTGACAATATGTACACAGGGTGCCCCCGCTAACTTGAACCAAGATTAAAGAAAAAAAGAAGAACATTCATTCTATGAAAGTCCTACTTGTTGAATATTAGTGGTAGTAGTGTGTACATACAACCTCTATTGTTTCATCACAAAGCACTACTTAATTAATTAACTTTATTTTGCCAACCTTGTTATTTTTGCTCATACTGATAAAATATTGACTCCAAGTTGCACCTTGCCTCAAATAACTCCAGAAGCGAGCTTTTTTTTTTTTCTGAAATCTGGCTGGTTTGTTTCTATTAAAAAAAAACGAAAAGGAATGAAACACGTGAATTATGAAATAGAAGTGCGCTGCTACTCTGCCACTTCCAAGCGCTCTTCAGTTGATACGCAGCTGCATTCATTCACTGTACGGAACCTCACACTACTGGACGCACATAAAAAAATGCTACTAGTGTAGTTGTCGAGTAGTGTAAAGGAAGACAAATGTCAACAAGTGTAAAGGACGGACAGATGGACACACTGACGGATGGACATGTGGACGCATGCACAGACAAACGGACAGGTAGACGGCCGGCACAGACAATCATTTATTGTGTCGTCATGTAGTTGATTACAAACAAAGTCGGTTGTTTACACATATGTTTTCATTTTTTGTTGTGCAGGTGCTCATTGTCGGTTTGTGTGTTGTGGGGAGTGATGGACGCCAACTAGGATGACTCTAAAAGATTCGCCCCTAAAAGCTGGCACCGGCAGCATTGACCCAACAAAAGCATAAAATAAATATCATAGTACCAAGAGGAATCGAACTCCACATTCTGCGTGTCAGTCAAGTCTACCACAGATCCACACCAGGTCTCAGAACTTATTTTCAAGCAGACCGTAATGTTCGTGAAACGTCTATTGTGGTCGCAGGGCTGGCTATCCAATGTTATAAATGATAGATAGGTACTTTCATACAGTTGTCATGTCCCCTTAACGGCAATAGTGATGAAGCGCTATCCGCTAAAGCTCATTTATTTAGCAGTGTCCAGGGCCGCTATCCTTGCTTGCACAAGAGCTACGTATTAAGTTACTGCTTCTGGTGTTGCTCACGGTATCATTACACAACAGTTAACATGCGACTGTTTAACGTATGTCTGTGCGTACAATATTTGTACATATCTTTAGTGCCATTTCATAACACTTCACTCAATAAAAACATTACAACACAGTCCCCTTCTCTCCGCATGCTTCGCATAACATCGATTTCCAAGGTACGTGAGATCTGCTGAATAGTTACATTATCCATGTCCATGACCAGCAGGTCATATTCTGTTGATCATTTTACCTTCCCATACATATTTTGGTTTACCCTAAGTTAGTGGGGTGATCGCGAGAGCACACAAGCATAGGCGGCTAGATAGATAGCTAGATACGTAGATAGATGATAAAAGTGCCTGCAGTGCGCAAAGAAATGCAAAGATAGCAGAATAAGGTAAGTATTCAATATACATATGAAAATTAAAAAATAAAAATAAAAAGAAAACTAAACAAGTTGAAATAATGTTGAATGCAATAAAAAAAATTAATTCGGAAACAAGAATACCGCGATTCCCAAGATAGCTGGAACACCCTGTTCATGTGTGCTTATCTATTCCTTCATTACACATCATGTACAGCTGACAAAAAAATAGCTCAGAAAACACATGGGATGAACGATGCCTATCTCTTGTTTTCATTACCGCTAGATAAACTCGGGAGCATTTCACTTGCAGGAAGTTCGTTTTCCAAACGCTAATGCAACATGCAACTTGGCTAATATGCGCTCCGTCTGAAGCAGAGTATGGACGTTCAATCGACACTGCAAATTTGCGTGCACAGTACACCGAGCCGCCCGGCAGTAACGGCATAGGCAGCACAGGCAACGTGCTGCACGCAACTACCCGGGACAACATGGAGTCTCCGCGACCTCTCTATAACTCATTGATTTGATTGATATGTGGGGTTTGACGTCCCAAAACCACTATATGATTATGAGAGACACCGTAGTGAAGGGCTCCGGAAATTTAGACCACCTGGGGTTCTTTAACATGCACCCAAATCTGAGTACACGGGCCTACAACATTTCCGCCTCCATCGGAAATGCAGCCGCCGCACCCGGAATTCGAACCCGCGCCCTGCGGGTCAGCAGCCGAGTACCTTAGCCACTAGACCACTGCGGCGGGGCCTCTCTATCATTCAATAAAACTGTGTCAGTTGTCGCTTAGTATCAGGCCGAGATAGAGAAGCACACATTTGTATCACGGAAAGCTCATTATGTTCATTTTTTCGCTATCTAAGTCATTGAGTATTCCGGACGCTGTAGTAGTTTCGAAACGCTCCTCGGCGTCACCACTGCGCACCCTTGGACGATCGTGCTAGAGTGCCAGGCCAGTATCTTTTCCACACTTTGGCAAAGAGGAATAAAAGGCTTTCTGAGTGGTACTTTGGGCAACATCTTCAAGTACTGTGTGCTTTTATTGGTGGCAATGGCACAAGTCAGCAGATGCACATTTAAATGTGCACTGCTGTTTATTGAATAATCATGCTGCGTTCCAGGCAGCTACAGATTACCGAGCATTCACTGTACTACTAGATATCATTTCACAGTTGCTCATGTTGAAGCCACCACTTTTGTTGGTAAAAAGTGAACAAGAGCACCGAAACGAGCACTAGCAAGCCCCATGAATGAACATAATTTCAATGACTGAACTACACTGGATATAGACGCAGTCGCGTCTTTTGCGTAGCCTAGGCTCAGTGTTGCTCGGTCGGTGACAATAATCAGATTTGCCGTTTTACACTTTCGATCGACAATTACAGCAAAAATTGCTTTCTTGTTAACTTTCATCAACAGGGGGTCCCATTTCAGTTTTCGATTATGGGACCCTCGTCTATTTTTCTGTATTCGAGTTTTAATGTATTAAAACAGGGTGTTGAACCAGCAGGAGTTGACTCGGCGAACGAAAGCTTTATTGAGCGCAAGGGCTAACTGAACGCAAGCCTGCGATCACAGCAAGTCTTCTTCCTTTTCTATATTCGAGCTCCATGCCCACTGCCCTCTTGTCAATCACCCACCCTCGTTACAATCACCCCCGGGCGATGAGGGAGCCATCCTGGCAACCTAAAAACAGGTGTACACAGAAGGGTCATGGTATGGATTGAGCCGAGAGATGTATACGATTTCTTGTCTCCGACGGCGCTTGTCCGGAAATGCATCCAGCGGCTCGACCAGGTAGTTGACAGGGGATGTTTGGCGTACAACTCGATAAGGGCCATGGTACCTGGACGAAAGCTTGTGGGAGAGTCCTGGAGGAGTAGAAGGAATCCATAACCACACCAGTGAGT